GGGTCCTTTACCACTTGTCAGCCAAATTTTGAAGACCTCCTATTAATGTATGAAGCAATATCATTATGATCTGCTGCATTTGAAAATTGCATTTCTCTGCTGGAGGAGATAATTATGTGTATGAGGCAATATTCAGCTGAGGAAGATTTCCTTTAGATATAAATTAGAAGAGTTTACACTCCCCTCTCACAGAAATGTCTTTGCATGTGAGCAGAGCTTCATGTGAGGGGCACCCAGCTTCTCACCCATCACACACCAAAGCAGGTGGGGCAGAACTCAGCCCAGCAGACCCTTCAGGAAATACCAGCCTGGTTTTGCAAGTGGATGCACTGGTTTCYGTTACTCTTGTGTCAACTCAAACAGTCTGTTTATAGAAGAGGAGAGCWAATTCAGACAAAGTTAAAAGAAAGAGATAAAATTAGCAAGGTGTTGCAAACTTTCTGCGACAGACAAGAAATCACACACTTGATTTCAATTTTAAACTGTCTGGACTGCGTGGTAGATTGAAAGTGTTAGGGAAGGACACTTGTTCCAACCACATAAAAACTGGATAGGAGAGATGAGTAGGAGAGATTGGGTAGGAGAAAATGCATGTAGGGAAAGTCTTATTGATATCAGGGACTGTCGGGGAAGCAGCATCATGACATGAACCCGGGACAAGCCTTTTAACTTGGTGCTGCTCCCCRCTCCAGATGTGAAGAGTTTTATGTGTGGTAGCAGCAAGATGGTTTCAGAGCCCCTTGCAGCCCAGGTGGGCACAGGGGCACACAGATGACTGGCTGCCACCACCAGCTCTGTGTTGCATCCCTGCACAATGCCAGGGGTTTGCGAACACAGTGCTGGGGCAGAAGGACATCCTTTGCATCCTGTCTGGAGGAGGACGGTAGGAGGAGGAAGATGACTTTATGTTTTGTTTTCTTTTTTTTTTTTTTTAATCACTTTTTTTGGCTATATTGACTTTCTACTTGACACAGCTTTGGCTGACAAGTGAGGCCCAGATACATTCAGAATTAGATATGACGAGGCTCATTCTTACATGAGAAGGAAATCATCGGTTGCTACAGAAACAGCTCCATATCAGTCTCATGGGGCATCTTAGCATCTGGCTTTCTTTCCTTCTCTTTTGCTAATCTGTAGATAAGAGTCAAAGCAAGTGCAGCACATCCCACATCTATATAAAAGGTTGGAGGAACTCTGTGGAGAGCAAAGTGTGAAAGAACATCTTGTAGATAAGCTGAACTTAAATGAATGAGTTAATTTACACCCCCACCCCCCAACATTTTTTTTCTAGTTTTGCAACTCTCCCTGATTTACTTGAGATGATGAAAATTAAATGACACCAATCTGTAATTACRTTAAAGGTCATCAGTATCAAGGATGAGAAGGGGGTTGCTCAGAAAAGGAGTTATGAGGAGAAATTCAGGAAACAAYCTGAGACATGAGTCAGAATTTATGTCAAGGAAACTGTGTACTGCAATTGAATAATCTTCCAGACTTGGTTTTAGGGAAGTTGWTTAACTTGATAAATTAATGAACTAGTTAAAAATAAGTGCATATTATGGGTGAACAGGGACCATTCTGCACATTTAAACTTTAGCTAGTCTTTTTCAACTGGTTTGCTAAAATGTAATGAATTCTTGATGCTCAATAGATTAATATTTATTAAATGAATCAATGCTTAATTTATTAAAAAATTGCCCTCCTTGTGTTTTAGTATGATTTATTACTCATCAGTGCTTATTGCATTAATTAAAGATCGTGTTAATTCTGTGGAAGTGAACACGATCCAGGTCAGGTTCACTGCTGAGCCCTAATACACAGTAGGGACCATGCCCCTGGATAGCACCCGTGACAGCAAAAATGTAGGTGGTGGGAAGCTGCTATGGATCACCATAGCCTCTGCTTGTCTTTGGGCCTTCACATGGCCTGCAAAGTAGACAGTAAAGCGAAAATGAGACTGCTGCTCCTTAAGGGTAGGATGAGAKTATAGTGATGAGGATGCTGTGATGATACAGGAAATCTCGGTTTGCTGCTTGTAAATTATGGTCGACACTGTGGAAATCATTTTAATATTTAGCATGGCATGCTTTTTTGYCAAAGTAGCTGAAATCCAGTGTTACTAATACAGGAAACTGCCACTTCTTCCCTGACCAGGATTTGTAGTCCTCACATTTCTCCKATCAGGTGGGAATTTTGGGGACAGTCAGTTGCCTGAAGACTGAGACAGTCCCAAGCATTTCTGCAGGGACAGGTGTTTGAGGAGCGGAAAATTACTAAAGGCAGAACAAAAAAAAAGCCAGACATCTTGTGGAGACAAGTCTTTCAAGAAATCTGTCAAAACAGGGAGAGGGTGAACATGCTGGAGGGGGGGCAACAGCTGCAATTTGCATCTTCCAGCACGGAAGGGAGAGGAGAATACATAAAGCCCCACAGCCATGATACTTCTGATGCAATTATTTTATTAATCTTTGTGACACTTGTAATGTCTCTCTTTTCAAATTCAAATTCTGCTGCTTTTTAACTAATCATAAGTGTGCTTGTATTTAAAATAAAATAAAATTWAAAAAAATCCCTGTAGTTGCTAGTCTGCTTGCACCCAGSTGAGCCCTGGAAACTGCAGAGAGCTGGCCTCTGAGATCAGAGAGCAGGGCTGGATTTCTGGAAATTCAGTATGTATAATTAGAGCATTTCTGCATGCTTCAGTGCATGATTCTCAATTGCACTTTGCTGCAAATTTTGTCCTCCTTCCCAGGTTTGGGGGAGTACTCCTACATTCCTCTAGCAGAGCTAAATTACAGGAATATCCTCAAGGTCTGCTGAAGGTCAAAGCAGAGGAAGCTTTGCTCTGTTAACTACAGCAGTCGGGCAGCGATCAGACTCTTCCAGACGGGTGAATTTGGGTAGAGCCAATGCCAAGGATGTGGTGGCATTTCAAATCTCTTGCAGCAGTCAGGTATGAGATGCCAAAGATCAGTGCTGATCCACTTGAAGCTGGAGAAATGTAGCCAAATGAGAAAAAAAAACATTATAAGCTGTACATCTGGCCTACAATATCTTTTCATTTTATTTMCTTTTTTCTTTTTAATACTAGATGCTTTTCTTCTGGTGTCACGTTAAGCTATTTATGTTTTTTTGTTTTTTAATGTTGATTCTAACACCAGTTAATAAATTTAAGTCAGCATTGGGGCCCAGCTGGGCTGTATGCCTTTCCATCTATTCCAACACTCTGCAATTTGCTGTCTTCTTTGATTGCACCTTTTCTTTTTTTTTTTTTTTCCCAACAGATCAGATTTCAGCATAGATTTTGGATTTTTTTATTAATTATTTTTACTTTAGATGTTCATGAGATATGGAGTCTTTGTAGTTCCAGCTGTGCTGAGAAACATAAGCAAAGCTTTTGGCCCAATATTTTGGCCCAAGCAAATATGACCCAGCACACTACTAAAGTCGTACCCAAAATTACGYGTCAGCGATTCAAGAACAAATGATAACCACGTAAACAGACAGGAAGGAGGTTTCTCACAAAAAAATTATTTGCATTGTACTTGAATTAAGCTAGTAAAGATCAAAAAGTTTCAGAAAAGGTAGGGGTACTTTTTGTCCTGACATCCCACTCTGTCATTCCATTAGGAGGCCTTCACTGTTGGGCATACAGCTCAGGTAAATTTGGCTGATGATGAACTGTGTCCTCACTTTTCAGCTAGTGTTGCTCTACTTTGAGAAGAATAATGAGTTTGGAAAGGAGTTTCATCAGTCATAATTTCAAAGGAAGAACATTCACTGTAAGGAACACCAAGTCAATGTTTCCTCCTCAAGGACTTTCAGCTGTCACCCAGGGAATACCATGAATGCAATGATGAGAATTAGATTAGAAAAAGATCAATAGGGTTGACAATAAATGAAAGTAACACAGACGTTATTGAGCAGATTAAGAGAGAGAAATTAAAGTGGACAGTATAATCTGCAATGCCAGCTAGACAGGCTAGTGTTGGGTAAAGATATTTTTAGGGAGAAGATAGTAGTTAGAAAGTGCTTCAAAGTGTAGGCACTTATTCGTATCTGGGAGAAGGAGAAAACCCTATTGGTGGTGGAAAGCTTTTGTGGCCTACAAAAAGGTTGTAAAGGATGATGATAGTCAAGAAACACATGGATTTCAGTGATAAGCCTGCAAGGGATAAAGGCGGGGCAGGCTTTCATAGGTTAGGAACAGGTATTACAGACGAACTGAATCTCACTACAGACTTCCAGCATCCAAGTATTGGTGGGATATCTGCTTCCAGGCAAAAAAATGTCCTAACCATCTCTAACTACTGTTTGGTTTGCTTGTGAAGGCTTATATCCCTTACAGAAGTCACTTTTATGCTTAAACTTAATATTTGCCATTATAATTTCTTGAATTTTGCTGTCTGTACCAATACCTAACACTGATGAGGTCTGGTCAGCTTTTAACATGAAGGGTATGTTGTGGCAGAGTACCACGGGCTGACTGTGCTTGTGCTTGCATGAAAAGAAGTTTCCTTTTATCAGCCTTGACTTTGTCTAGATCCCCTTACATGGCTTTGAAAGGTTCACCCCAAGGCAAAATAATTGTGTTTGATCACATACAGGCTATAAGTCAGTGATTGATATGAATAAAGAACTTGGAGTTTCTTGTCTTGGTTCCTTGTCTGCTTCCCTGTGGAATGAGAAATTACTTTTATAAATATCCTCAACCACCTGTGCTTCTAGCTATCCATTTCAAGTATAAGTTCCAAAAAAAAAAAAAAAAAAGAAAAAAAGAAACACTTTATCAGTGTAAATAAAAACACATTGAAAGAATGGAGCTAAAAATTTTTTCTCTCCCATAAGGTAGACATGAATCCCATCCAAAAGAATCACTGAGAGACGTGTAACTCGTAATTAATTCTGCTATAAATGTCAGAACACTTACTTTGCAGGTCTAAGCTGACCCACTAAAATTAGTCCCCTTTTAACAATTCCTTTTATAATTTGTTTTTCAGCAGAAACGGCGGCTTGACCTCCTGACAATAACCAGCCCCAGTAAGTGAGCTCCGCTGCTCTTCTCTTTTCTTAAAGAGATGGTTGTCTAAATGTTTTTTTTTTTTTTTTTCACTGTCTCTGACATGCAAAATGAAAAACACTGTTCCCCAGAAAATCTTTCACATAATAACAAGTGACAGCTATATTGTGCTTGGCAAAGCCCCGGGCAGTTATCCGTTCACAGAGCTGCCTCTTCAGACCTTTACTCTATGAATTTGAGTGCTGATATTTCTTTAAGCCTCCTGGGGTTACAGTTAGCGGTATGTCTGCAGGGCAGATGCCCTAGAATTCACAATGTGTGTTCAAGTATCACAGAAATATAAGTTTGACTCTCTTCAGTGGCAAACCCACACAGTTAAGGGAGCAACGGAAGGGTGGCACTCAACGTGCGCTGGGATGGGTGGGTTGAGTGTGGGAAAACCTGAGAGAGAGATAGAAATAATGAAGGCAAAAGTAAAATGCTTTAAGCAGTCTTCTCTGTGATGTTTTTTTATGTGTCTATTGAAGAGATAAACCATAATGTCCTCTACTGAGTTTTTGGTGACCAGTTATGAAAGCATAGGACTTTCTGAYGTAGAGTGTTGCAATGGTCTCAGTACCATTGCGACTGGAGCTCAGATGGTTTGAACAGTGCTTCTCTTTGATCTCCATTCTGAGGGCTGGGTGACTTTTAATATATTTCTGTTTGGATCCGGATCTGGGGTTTTTTGTTTGTTTTGTTTAGTTTTCGTTTCCTTCATCCATTTCATGAACAACTTCTCAATTCTCACTCYTGCAGCAGTTCATTGCTCACCAGCTTCAACCATTCATGGCACTGAATGGTGCTACCTTTTGGTTGACTTTTCAGTTTTTCAGCTGTGTGTTCATATTAAGCTTTCAGTTTGGCTTTAACTGGGACTAATGAGTTCTGGCTTTAAGTGGGAATAATGTGTTAGCAAAAAGAACAGGTGTTATGGGAAGTGAACAAAATGTGACACATATTTGCTTGGATAACAATTTTGCATCAATAATTGTTCTGACACTCTAAATGTAGATATCATCTGTGACATGGTTTCTCCTTCACTAACCTTGTTAGAATAATAAGAATTAAAACAAGGAGGAGGAACACTTGGTTGGGACAGATGTTTGAGGCTATTGGCAATTGCATCACATTTTTGCATGTTCACTTTTTATGCAGTTTGCAATTATGTTAATGTAGGCTCAGGGCACTTGCTGATAAAAGCAACAATACAGTGTGATACAGCCATTGTCACAATTCTGACTATAACTTCAAGGGCGAACATGGCACATTTTTCATTTTTTGCATCTTAAACTTCCTCTATTGTAGAAGAAAAAAGAAAAGGAAAATATCTATGATGGTCTTAATCATAATAAAAACTAAGATCTTGGATAAAGGTACCAAAGCTACCACAGAATTCTTTTTTAGTAAGAGAAAAGGAGARCTGGGAAACCGAATAACTAAATATAAGACATTTCTGTAAAATAAATTTACAATACCTCCGGCATTGTAATTTCTGATGAGATCTGTGTACATTGGAGCAATGAAAGGACTGACTAAGCTGAGTTTTTGTGTAGATGTTATCACATAAAGTAGCAATTGTTTCAGAACTTCAGTTTAATCAACACAGCAATTAGTTAGATGAATCAAAATAGTCAAATACTAAAACAGCTTCCAATAACTACGTTGGTACACATTCAGCATTAAACGGGGGGAAAGCTTTCTGTATCTTGCCATTTTTTTTTCTGAAATATATTTTTGGTATTCTGATATTTACTCAAAAATCTACAATAATTGATTATGTAGGAAAGAAAATGTAAAATTTTTGCACAGGTAATGTAACTGAGTGCCTGCTCAGTTTCTTTCTCATTTTTTTTCAGTTTCTTTCTCAGTAAAGGCATTGTCCAAAGGAGCCTGTTGCTGAAAGACAGCAGCTTATTTAAGAGTTTACAGCTGAGATTTTTGAAAGAGGTGGAGTTAGGCATAAAATTCCTAGTTATTTCTAGTTAGGCATATAATTCCATATAATTCCTAGATTGGAAAATCTCCACCTGTGGATTAGAAAGTCCGGTTTTGAACATACAAATGCAATTTGATGAAGATTAGTCAGCCTTAGAGTAGGAGAGTCCTCCATGCAAGTCTCAGCACCCAAAACGTTGTTACCTAATTGCAAGAATAGATGAAATGGATTCAAAAAAGAAAGGTGACCCCTGTGGAATGCCAATCCGTCCCGAGAGAGCATCATTTTTTGTTTGTGAAATTTCCCAAACCAGTTCCCATACATTTAGCCACATATTGTTTGGTGATCTCATGCAGGTATTACAACAGCTCTTCTCCAGATGCTGCTAATGGGTAATTTTCCAAAAACTGATCAGCCAATTAATGAGATTTATTGCAAGGTAAAATAATTCCATTAGTGCCAATAAAAGAGGCATTGAGGCACGAGTGACTAAACGTATAAATAATGGYTTATGAGATGCCAAAAATCATAATGTTAGTGGCAGACATGCCATTTCCAGGGCTCGTGATTGCAACATGGTCCCCCAGAGCTTCAGTAGAAGGTATGAAGGTGAACTCATACTTCTWGGCTTGGATCCCCTCTGTGCACTGCACTGAGCACCCACCACCATGGTGACCCCCACGGCCTCCTGCCTTGCCCTGGATGACTTCTGAGTGAGGAGGAGCAAATGCAGTGCCCACAGAGGTGGGACCATCAGGTGTGTCGAGATGTGAGTTCTCAGCCTTTGGCTGCACAAACTGCTGGTGGCAAGGAGTTCTTGTCCTGGACATAGGGAAAAGAYATTCATGTCAGCCTCTGGTGACCCATTTGTATGTTAAGCTGAGCAGGGATAGATCATTTATACCTAACTTGGGCTGAACTGAGCACATCCTGCAGTGGGAGGAGGAAAGCAGGGGCACGTAAGGGTGCTATGAGCCCAGATGACCTGCTTCAGCGCTCCTGAGGAAGGTGCTGCGGAAAGTTCCCCGGCATGTCTGAAACTGGAGGAAGCCTTTCCTTTACAGCAGGGCTCCAGAAACCGCCAGGCACAAATGATGCATAAGCTGGGAGTGAGCCAGGCTCCTTCCTGCTCCGAGGGATTCCTTTGAAGCCGCTGACACCCATGTAAAAGGAGGAGGGGAATGCTCTGCCGTGCTGCAAGGAGCTGCAGGAATGTTAAGTTACGTTTATCAATGATCTTGCCATCCACCTTGCTTTGTAGCCCCTTGACTTGTGAGTTGCAATGAGACACAAGCGTGCCACACGGTTCGGGGTGCCAATGTGTGCAGTGAGGTGGGGAAAAGATGTTAAAAATTCATTAGTAGCTGGCAGGGCCATGCTGGCAGGAAGTGCAACTCAATGAGGTTTAAGTTTTGGTAATTTAATTTTCTTAAAAAAAACCCAAACTTCTGGATTTGATCCCAAACAGTTTCCACCATGATTTCCTTAGTAGTTTGTGTTTCAGGACCAAATCTTCAGGTGGCTTCATTAGGCTTTTCTGCTCAAAGCAGCTGAGCAACTGTCCTTAATTCCAACTAATCATGCTCTAGTAACACTTTGGGCATGCTCTTGTGGTTGCTTCCCGTTTTGTGGTAGCCACTCAAGAGTTGCAGATAAGGTATCCCTATTTCCTTAGCTTTTCTACAGAGACAAAGCTTTTTGCATCTCCGATATTCATGATAATAACACAGCTTTCTAGTTTCTCTTCTCTATAAGGTGAGTTCTTCTCCCACTGAAGTATTTTTTAATTATTGATACCATAAATGGAAGTGTGTTGGAAACTATTGGCTTTGAAAATAGCTAACATGTGATATTATCCAAGAACCATCAGGAAAATTCTTTTGAAATTCTCTTTGATTCAGCCGTCCTCAGGGTTTATCCTTCCCTGCCAGTCTCTCTACTGCCAATTTAAAATAACATTCTCCTGAAATCAGTGCAATGTCAGGAGAAATTCATCAGCACCGTAGGTGCATGTTTCCCAGGTGTATATAAACCTACTGCATTTGGCAGCAGTAAATTGATTGCATTTAAAAAAACTGGGGTAGTTGAATATGCCGTGGTGCCCAGCTTGGCTACAGTGTGGAATATAAAGTATTTGAAGTTGCTTTCCATTCCATTTTAGGAGAAATGAAGTAAGAGCTGACTCCATAATTCCTTCCTCTTGATTTATTCAGTTTTTGCCCTGACTACATTAAAGACTTGCATGCAATGATAGAGTAAGATATTCCAAATTTCTATGGAGAGGCTTTGAGATTTGATCAGAAATGTTAATGTCTTTGTGTATGTTTTTCCCCTACTATTCAAATTCTTACACTTTCAAGCAGAGAAGAAAGCTTGATTTAAAAAGTATTTACCAGGCTGATCTATGCAGTGAAATATTTCCCTTCTTTTAATATCTTCAGTGCTGCGTGCTCTAAAAATGTCTCCATTTCATTAATTTGTGATACACTGCAACACTGAATTCTTTAAAGGTGGCTTTAGTTTCTGCCATACATATTTTACGGCTTTAAATTATAGATATAGGACTGTTGCCTAGTTAATTTCCTCTGGTTAGGAAAATATATTTCTACTTTCCTGGCATTGCATTAAATGATATGTGGGATTTGCTATATTTTTTAGCTGATTAAGTTTTGCGTTTCTACATATTACTTCTTAGAAGACCTCAAGTAAAAGTAGGGAAAAGGAGGAAAAAGTTTCACAGTGTATTGGAAAGTTTCATTTAAGTATCATTTTCAACACTAAGCCCCCTACAAGCCTTTTCCATTACCTTCCCGGATAGTCTGGCTGTCTACTTCTTTCTAATTGAAGCATGAAAATAATATGAACTCAAAGTCATGAAGCTCTAAGACACGTATTAGTAAAAATGATACAGGGTAATAAAATGTGACAGAAAGTTGTTTGCTGTTAAAACTTGATTACTATTTTTGATAGTCCTTATTAATTAATACTGTATTGATTTTGGTCTAAGTATGTGTCAGGGGATACTCTCTGAGTTTTTAAACAGCCTAATGTAATTACTGTTTGTGTTTGTTAGTTAAGCTTCACACACTGTTTTCTTTTTTTTGGAAAAGAGGTCAAGAAAAGAAATYACTTATCTTTCCAGTAACAATTTGAGTTTTGTAATGCTCAGAGACAGTTAGGAGTGAAACTACTTCTCATATCCCAAAGACACTAGTTATTAGTTCACCCATCTGCCAGCAAAAGTGTAAAATAATTTCAGAAAAAAAAAACCTCATTGCTGAGTAATGGACCCTAAATAATGTGTTCAAAGGCCTAGCACCAGGATTTCTCTGTCTTASAAATAAAACATAAATTATGAAATCTCGGCTCAAAGTTACGGTGCTGTTGGTCTTAGCTGAAGTCTAGAACTGTTGGAAGAAGTTTGTTCTCGTCTTGAAACTTGAGCAACAGAGAATATGGAGAAAAGAGACTCTTTTTTTTCTTTTTTTTTTTTTTTTTTTTTTTTTTAAAAATGTCTTGTTAGATCTGAGGTTGTCCTGAGGCTAATTAGGAAGCTTGACCATATCTGATTATGCATCTTCACTCTGTTGGTGCAGTTATAAGAATTGCCATTTGCTGTGATAAGCAGAAGTACAGTTGCTTGTAATTACATATTCTAGCATGTGCCTCGTTCTCGTCTTGAAACTTGAGCAACAGAGAATATGGAGAAAAGAGACTCTTTTTTTTTTTTTTTTTTTTTTTTTTTTTTTTTTTAAAATGTCTTGTTAGATCTGAGGTTGTCCTGAGGCTAATTAGGAAGCTTGACCATATCTGATTATGCATCTTCACTCTGTTGGTGCAGTTATAAGAATTGCCATTTGCTGTGATAAGCAGAAGTACAGTTGCTTGTAATTACATATTCATGCACATCAGTACCTGTCTAACTCTTGCGTCTGTTTCCCATCGTGCTGCAGCAGTGGTTGCAGAGATGCTGCTGTTCCTGCCCTCTCCTCCTCAAGCAGAGGAGTTCTGTCCTGGTCCTCAGATCCCTGCCTGCTTCTCAAAAGAGCACTTACATCCGTCCCAAATACCACAGCTTTGGGATCTCCTGAAATGACACTTTTTTTAATCTATCAATGAAACCAGAGGTTTCTGCACTTAGTTGCTAAGCATTTACCTTCAGTAAGACTATTTAATCTCCTACCTTTGCATTTATTTTTAAGAAGCAGCTTTTTTTTTTTTTTTTTTTTTTATGGATATATGTAGAATAAGTGATATTTGCTAAGTCAAAATAAGACCTCAGGGAGAAAATTCTAAAGGGTAGTCCTTTACTTTTGAAGAAAAATATCAAGTTTTCCCACAATACCTTATTATTATTCTGGGTCACCGTGATGTTTCCATGCACCTTGGCATGTCCCTTTAATTGGATCTGTACATAGGAAGGTCCAGCACGGTTGCATTGAAAGCTGACATTTCTAACTAACTGACCTTTTCAGGCCCAGTGATACTCCTATAATGATTATCCTCTAGCATTGTTTGGACACAATACCACATACTTCACAGCACATAAAGAATATGTTCCTTGAGAACTATTCAAAACGCCCAATCTCAAGTTAGCAAAATGAGAAAATTGGGTGCAAACATTCATCAGAGTGTTATTGTGCAGGTATTGATTTGAATGCCCTTTCATTTCTCTAGGAAAAAGTGTTGTATTATAGAGCTCTAAATTAACTTCTGCTCTGTTTTTTTTTTCTTTTTTTTTTTTACTTCTCCTAGTAAGTATAAAAAGGTCATATTCATTCATAAGGCTGAATAGATTTGTGGGATATAAGCAATAAGATAGCAATCAACCTTCAAATAACCTTTAAAGAGACAGTATCTTTTCTTACGAACAGTAATTGATCTGCTCATTAAGTCACTGCATCCTCTTTGGGGCTCACCTAGGCAAAAATGTGCAAGACCCATGACAAAAGGATGTCAGCTAGAACAATATGGGAATAAATTCTCATGTGGAAATATAAATATTTTACATGGCTTGGGCATGTGCACTTGATGAAAGGCTTGACACTGTGCTGTGAATTCCTTGACTTGACTGTCATCAGGGCGCGTGAACAAGATGCAGAAAAGAGTTGAAAGTGTGAATTTGATGTTAGTGAGGATGACGATGGTGATGTGTTCATACATGTCAGAAATCTGAACGCCTCTAACTCCCCTCCTGAATGTAGTGACTAATGTCGAGTAATGGTCTCACAGCTGGACTCTTGCTGATGAGCATGTGAAGGGCGCAATATTTAGCTGGATATTCCCTCAAATTACTCATCTAATTAAAGATACCAATCGGAAGATTAGTGTTCTGTTCGTGTCCATATTTCATTTCTGCATATAAATCCATGTTGTGTTTTTAATATTATTTTTATGAATTGCATATACGCTGTGGACTATCTGTACATAATTGAATGCGAGGAGTTGTCTTGGTTTTTATCTTTGATCACAGTTTTCAGAAGCAGCAAGTATCCCAGGTGACGAGGCTTTTTGTGCTGGAAATGTTTGCACATGATGCTTTCTCTTCCGTATCACGGTGTGCAGGGCAAGTTTCTGATTGATTTCAAGCAAGTGAAAATGAGCAATTTTGTGCACAGGTGTATGGTGCACCTTCTCTTTTTGGGTTGTCTTGAGGAAAAGTTAAAATGTATCTTCCCCTCTGAAAAAAAATAATATTTTCTGGGTATTAGAGGTTTATAAGGAGCATGGAAAGCTTTCTTTTTTAAAGGACATTTTAATTAGTAAAGGCGTTTTTATGGTCACAGTCTCTTCACTTAGGAATTACAGTTTGTTTGTTTAATTATCTACCGTGTGACCTTAGCAAAACTTAGTGAAAATAAKCCTGTTCTAAATACCTGGAAGACAGCAGGGAACATATAGTGACACCACAAAATGGAGAGCAGTGCAGAAATGCATGAGCCAGCAGCGGCCTGGATAGGTGGGCTGCACAGCTCAGGGCAGACGTGCTGGCTCGAGCCTTGTTGCAGACCAGCCTGGGTACCTGCCYGCACCCATGGGGATAAAAAAGCCCTGACTTGCTGGTTTTACTCGCTTTAGTGTCCTGTCTTTCCTGTGCTGCTAAGTTGCACCTGGATCCGAGCTTTTGCTTRACTTTTATTTATTTATTTTTTAACGTGTCAGAGGCACTGATGGTTGGTGATGCCAAGTTTCTGCATTAACAACACCCGTGCATCCCAGTCCCTGCGTACTTGGAGGTGCTCAGTGCTGCTCAAACATCAGCTGCTCGGTGCTGAAGACCTGATAGCTTARGTAGACAAAGCAAGGGATGGCAAACATGAAACACAGAAAGAAAATAACAAAAGCAAAACCAGTTTTTAGAGCTATGTTTTCTTTTGGAGAAACCACCCATTGGTGTCTTTATCCTCTGCTAGGATTCTGGGCCTCTTTGCTACCTCTTCTCCCTGTCCCTGCTCTAACAGAAGGTGGCAAAACAGTGAGTTTTACAGGTAAAGGTGCTGGCACTGCAGCTCATTTGTTTAGAAGGTGTGCTGGTGGCCTCATTTTTYAGTATGCACATTTTCTGTTAAAGCAGTCAGCCAAGGTCACTGGGAAACCCACAAGAAAGGATAACCTAGAGCCTTTATGATTATTTTGAGCTTGTAACTTGAAGGCACAAAGGATTTTTTTTTTTTTATAGGCGAGGTATGAATGGAGAAGGTGTGATGGGCTTGTGAATACAGACTGAAAGTGCAGAATAACCCATAGTGGAAGAGTGGCTTCTTGTCACCCGGCGGTACAGTAGTTATCGAAGATGCTGCTAAACGAGATAGTGTGGGTACTGCCAGACAGTCGTGTCGCTGCAGTGTCCTTAAAGAGCGGGTTAAAGGAAGGTGAGACACTGTTTTTACAGCGTGGCGGGCATCTGACACTGCAGCCAGCTGGGGTGTCTGTGCGGGATGCTGCGCTGGCCTGTGCAGGTGCTCGCTGCCAGGATTGAGGACAAGTCCTGGGAGAGAAAAGGACACAGGCGGYGGGGACAAGGACTGCATGGGTAAAGCAGAATTCTACATTTGCTAGCCCTTATGAGGGTTACCTGCGCTCTTACTCAGCTGCATCCATGGTCCTTATCTCCTGGGACTGCCAGGAGGAAGACTCACCTATGCAGGTCTGATCTTCTGCTTCTCAGATCTGCTGTTGCTCAGGCTGCTGTCACGTCCTGTGGTAAACCTGCTGGCTTGAGATCCAGCCCAGGGCTGCGAGGGAGCCCGGCTGATGGRCTGGGGCAAAATGCACCCTCAATGGGGACCTAGAGCAGCTCTGAGCTTTGGGACCCGAGCCACAGCACTTGATTGTACCAAAGCCCATTGTCAAAGACCTAACAAACCATGGGCACACATTGCATGAGCCTGTGACCCTGACCTCAGCCCCTTCCCTCCAGCACCCTGAATTTTGTCATGTTCTAGCACGAGAGAGTTCCCAAGTGACCTGAGTCTGAGTGCCGGATGGATGCATCTGCCTTTAGCTCTGTGCGTGGCCCTTGGTGGAGTGAGGAAGACGCAAGACCTTCCTCCCACCTCCTCACTGGTGCCGCATCCCCAGGAATGTCTCTGTTCCCACCTTGGCTGACCCTTGGTTGGTCCCAGCATTGCCCCCAGTGCTGGACACTGCTCCCCAGCCCTGGAGCCCCACGGCTCCGCTCCCTCCGTGAGAGCATCTTCACCACCGCTTGCTCAGCCGGAGCCTCCCGGAGCAGGAGCCATGGCGGCTCCCACACAAATGGAGATGCTATACAATAGCCCTGCTGCTAATAAATATAAACCGTATAGATGTCAGGTCGCCCGRCGAATGCATTCTCCCCACAAACCGGGCGGCTCTGCGGCGGTGTTCAGGAATTAACTGCAGGAGTATTACTCTCTTAAGGCTTTGTGTTATAGTTCTGTTTTCTTCACCTTTAACCTGACAATGGATTATGACCATACTTTCTCTTATAACTAAATGCTCTTCTGTCCTTTGACAAAACAGATTTGTGTCTTTTCATAGCTTTCTGTAGAGGGCTAATAATACATAGGAAAGCTTTACTGCCCACAGGAGATTTTTGCCTGGCTGTAATAATAAGAAATGCTGTTGAAAAATCATGATCAATGTTAATTCAGTTATTTTTCATTTTCTTCTTTTTTTTTTTTTATAATGAAATCTTCTACTTTGTACATTTTATCCAGTGCTACCCCATGAATTGCTCGTTGGAGAGAGGGGTCATTGGTTATAAAAATGAATTCTTGTTTTTTGTGCTCATACAAAAATAACTGCAATATTTTGAAAAGATGAATTTATGGGAGGAAAAAAAAAAGTGGAATCTGGATGTACAAAAGATGTAAATGTTGTTTTCCAGGTTTTATGATTCCCAGATGCCTCCTCTAATTGCATAGCTAACCCTGAGTTTATTAAGTTATTTTCCAGAGTCAAGCTCATTTGTATACATGTCAGAATAAAAACTGAATTTAAAGAAACAAAACCTTTGGATTAGAATTCCAGAGTGATAAACAAACTAATTTAGAATGCATTTGCATGTAATTTACATGTGCCAAAATGGGATTGCATGTGGTTTGTAAATACAGGTCTTGAATCTATTTAATGTTATGGAGTAGCACAGAAGAAATTAATTGTAGCTTAAAAAAAGGTTCAAATAATAAAAAGATGCCTTAAAATGGCCATGTTTGAATGTGATTCAATGTGCAGAAACTGGTGAGGAGAGATAAGCGTGCAGAGAAAGCTGTAAATTCTAGCAGCAACATCTGTAGTAGTTAGAATACTATGTTTTATAGCAACCCCTTACCTCCCCCCATGGACATTGCTATGGCAAGCAGTGTATTTATTATTCACGTTCCACAAGACATGTTTTGCTAGCACAGCTTTAAAAAAAAAAATCTGTTTGCTTTCTTTAAGGTATAAACTTATTCAAAGATGGTATCAGCTTTGAATCGTAACATCTTGGCCAGGTTAGCTTGCATGCTTTGACACAATRTAGAAATCGTAATTCTTCTGTTTATTACTGTAGCACCAAAGGTAGTAGCAAAGGACCAGTCGGCAAGTAGTCTCCAGTCTCTAGATTCAGTCTTCATCTGGAGAAGACAGGTCATTGGTTTCTGCAAGAACTTCCAGCCTGAATAGAGGAGGCAAGGTAGGAGGAGAAGGTCATGTAGCCTAGCAAGCAGTGGTGGGAATTGTAGAGTAAAACCAAGATAAGGAGACATTGAGGGAGGAAGAGTCTTTGATCAATGACCCAGTCCACACAGAGCTGGACATTTCTTGTCAGGAGCATCATAGGTCCTCAGGCTGCAAGAAGACTCATACGTTGATTATTTTTGCTGTTCCTCCTTCTAGCAGGAGGCCTTGACSGATTGCTCTGTATGTTTGTTTATTTCCCAAATAGTATACATCAAGAGGCAGAGTGGTCAAATATCAAYGAATATCCATATTTTCAGAGCCTAGTAGGCCAGAGGAACAAATCTAAAAGTGGCAGCAATGTGCCCCTGCAATACATGATGTAACAGGGCCAGTAGAGCTACTCCGTGTTGAGACTTGCATGTTTTGTGATTTGCTGGATATTCCTAAAGATATAAGATTTTCTTGCTGAATGCTGCTATAATTACTAGGCTAGCTTTGTGGCATACATTTCTTCATTTTTCAGACATGGAGAAAAAAAAAAATAGGGGTAGATGGTGAGACTTTGTTGCCTATTTGCTGTGTATTGTTTCACCTGAGTGAACCCTGAGTGAGATAATCCTGAGTACTACRGCAGAATTATCAAGATTTCTATTATCAAGAAGGAAAAGATGCCAGGAACCTTTCCATAATAAGGTCAAGATATATTTGAATGTGCAGATAAATGTCTCTAAATATTTTCTTGTACTTCTTGTGATCTCTAGAAATTTTATTTCCTATTTGGATATGAGCCATTTTATATATCTGGTATAAATGTTAATTATTAATCAGGATACAATCTATTTAAGCTTCTTCCACTCTCCCTTTCTTCCCAACAAGGCAGCTGGATGAAACAAGAAAGACACATCGTTATTATTAGTAGATGATAAATTAGCCTGTTACCCAGAAGAAGATTGTTTTTCAAGACCAAGGATGAGACTTCCCAGTGGCTGCAATAAGAGAGGAGTCTGCAGTCTGTCCCCTTTGTGTTTGATACACACGCACGATAATGTGATTCTACTCAAATGGCTTTTATTAACAAGTTATTGATAATAGCAGAAAAGAAGGATTATTCTTGTAACTTCTGTTCTATTGGTTACTCTAACTAGTGAATGGATTTAGTGAGCGGAAGGCTGGATATATAGTAAAATGTCTTTTTTTTAATGCTGCAGTTGAAAGTAAGAAGTTTGAAGGCTAGTTAGAAAAAAAAACAATAGCAGGTAATATCAAAAAAACAAATCTAACAAGTAATAAAAGTTATTGCACATATCCCAAGTGAAGCAAATCATTTATAACAAGATCTGTGAAGCTGCAGCACAAATATGCCTTACAAATCTGTTGGCTAAATTTGCTATTTTTGCTTTATGTATCCTTGTACAAACGAATGGTTTCTTGACACCAGATCTGCCATGGCTACCCCTATGAGCAGAGTCCTGGAGATGAAATGCTAAGCTGGCAATTAGTACCAATGACCAGCTGTGAAAACAGGAGTTTCTCTCATTTACTTTAATTATATTTTTGTTCAAATATTTGCATATTTTTTCTCTTATTCATTGGAAACATTCTTATCCTTTCAATAGCAAAGGAGACATTTTCAGTGTGTAYTTAATTCTTTTCTTATTTGCCAATCTAAATGCAAAAACCAGGCCTTCTTTATATGAATAGTGTGTGTATATACATGGAGTCATCTATACGAGCAGCTAAGAAGTTGTACATTAGATTGCAAAGCCCTTCAGTTTAGCCTCAGTTCTTATTCAGCAAACTGTAGAATGGTTCTGGAAATTTGCAGTGTAGYTATGCTGTTGTGGGATAAGAACAAGATCTTATGGTTGTTAACTGATCGAAACAAGTGAGATAAAGGGGAAAAATAGTTTTTCCAATGGAGGAAAGTTACCTGGGAACTACACTGGGACCTCTTCACTTCATAGCTATGAATGATTTGGAAAAGAGTACGAACATCAGGATGACAGTTTGCTGATTATAGAAAATTATCTAGAATGTAGGACAGTAAAAGCAGCTGCAAAGTGCTGCAGAAGGAGTTCATGGTACCAAGTGGCTCAAGAGCAACATCACTGATGAAGTTCAAAATCAATAAATGCAAAGCAATCTACCTAGGATAAATCATCTCTATACAATAGTTTTAACCTATCTTTTGCCACTCAGGAGTAATATCTTGGAGTCAGTGTGCACATCTGTTTGCAGAAATATTAGGAAAACTAAAAGCAGAACAGAATATGATGCATTATACTGCTCTCAAAATAGGTAATAGAGCTAATGAAAGTACAATGAAGGATGCTCAATAAAAAGGCTTCTACCTGGGGAAAAAAAAAAGTTTGTCATCCCCCCACTAATCTGTTGCAAATGAAGCTTAAACTAAGTTTCTAAGGTTCATGTGTTTTTAAATAGAGAGCTTCAACTAGTGTGGTGTAACTGTATTTTAGACTTCATGATTATGTGTAGGTATTGAAATAATTACAAGTTAGTCCAGGCCTAGAAAGTGTATTTTGCCTCATGAACAGAGATCATAGCAGATTTATTTACAACATGGAAGAGAAGCTGACTACAGCCTGTATTATGATTTGCAGGAAAAGGACAAAATTCCAATAGCTATGTAGAATTCTTATCAAATATTTGAATAGAGAACATACAAGTTCTTTTTTCTTTTTAGAAAATGTATTAATTGTATAGTCCCTCATGCCTGGATGTGAAAGAAAACAGCTTTGGTTAAGAATCCTAGAAAGTAAAAAGAAAATTTTAAAAAAAAAATTAAAAAATAAAATAAGGGACATAAATTTCAAGAGTAAATAGAAGAATAAATAAAAGTATGAGAAAGCTAAAAGCAATAAACTGGTATATTTTCTAGGATTTATTTTATTCCAAATATACTACAACTCTACAGGTGTTAGTTGATAATGATGATGTTGTAAAGGATATGTTCAGTACAATTTTTTTCTTCTATGTTTAGAAAGTGGGATACTGTTTCTGTCACTTTGTGGATGAAATGCTTTCAAATCCATTTAAAACTTAAAAAAGATGTT